AAATGTTTTTTACAAACCCTCATGTTGAGGGCTAGGGATAGCTTTAGCTATATTCTTGTTTTTCTTTTTAATTTTGCCCTTTTATTTAGAATAGATTCCTTCCTTTTCTGAGTTAGAGAAGTCTAATATGTCAGTTTCATCTTTTCAGCATCTCTCAATCTAGATAATATAGTTTTGGGCTAAGACAATCTCATCTTTCCAACCAATAATTCACCCTTAAAGAAAAAGACTGCAGGCAAATTTTCTTTCACTTTAAAATGAAATATTGCTAAATTCTGAGGCAAAAGTATATAACTGTGGAAATTTTTCCAAATTTTAACTGCAGAGCAAATCAAAGTATTGCCTGTTTCTAGTAAGTAGGAGGAAAACCCCAGGATTTTAAAATAATGATGCATTGGTTAATAATAAGGCTAAAGAGAGTATAATAGATAAAATCTAAGACCCCAAAGAATAGTAGAGGAAGTTGAAAGCAAACTGAATTAATCTCAGAGAACCAATTATGGCTCTCATCAGAAGTTTCTAGGAGCTGGGGATGTGGGACAGGAGCAGAGCACTTGTCTAGCACACACAAGGCCCTGAACTTGTAGTCCCAGCACTGCAAAAATAAATAAATAAATAAGAAAACAAAGCATGTTTTGCTTACTGTTGAGAAAAGCTGATGTGTGGCCTGCAGAAAACCCCATTGTTTACTTGTGAGAGAAAGAAATTAAAGCAGCAGATAATATGTTAGAGGAAGAAAATAGTTTCTTAGGGTTGGCCAGATAGCTCAGCGAATTAAAGCGCCTGCTTAGGCAGACACGGGGACTGGGATTCGATCCCCGAAGTGCTGTGCTGGCCCTGCCCCCAGTGTGTGCTGAGATGGCAACTGAGACTGGGCGTGGTGGCACATGTGTGTAATCCCAGCGCTTGGGAGCCTGAAAACAGGAGGAGCACCATGAGTCCAATCTGTATAGTGAGACCCTGTAGACTCCATACTAAGTACAAAAATAAATTTTTTGAAAAAGAAAATAGTTTCTTTAGACTTCCATTGAGCTGCAGAAGGGACGTATTTTATGTCTGTATTACTTATGACTACATAAACTATCTTATATTATCACTATCATTTCCTTCCATAGTACATAATATTTTATCTCAAGTACTTATGTCATTAACCTTTCCAAATCAGGTGATATTTCTAATTTCTATACTATACTAAAATCAAAAGTACTGTGGAAAGTACAAGTATCTAGTATTTAAAGCATGGCTAACTTTAGTTTGGCTTTCCATAAGATTGTATTTATATTCCCTACTGCATTTCTGCTACTTTATACCTACTCTTTTTTCAAAAATAATGTTAGGAATTGATTTCGTTGGTTGTGTGATCATAGCTTATGTGTTAAAAAGCTTTCGTTAAAGGAAAGTATATCTCAAAATACCATATTTGGTAATGATAACCTTGATTATTTTAGTGTCACTGCAAAGCATTCTCAAATTAGAGCTCTTCAGCCTTTGGAATATTGGTTATGATTTAGAATATTGCATTTCTTCTGTGCCAATTGTGTTCCATGTCAGCTCCTTAGAAAACTTAAGCAAATTGAACTGTTTTAGTTTCTAAAGGTTTTACTGTTCTCTCTTTCCATAGGGATTTTGCTGTAGGAATCTGTAACAAAATCAGTGAAATGATTCAAGGTATGTATAGTTCATTTAGTAAAAAGACATGACTGAGTGGGATCAATAGTAATAATTGTTGTTAACATTTAATGAGTACGTAACTTGTGCTAGTCACTGTTCTTTCAAGTAATATTTATTAACCATCTCCCACCTGCTGGGAAAAGCCCTTCCCCCATGTAGGTTAGGGTGGATGTAGGTCAGGGTGGAGTGGGAGGAGGGAGATAGGATATGAAAGTTCAGGTACTGGAGAAAATGAGATAGAAAGGAGAGAGGATCCCAGGAGTAGAGGGCAGGGTGGGAGGTGGACCTGCTGTTGTAACTATGTCACTTCCTTCTGATGAAATGAGACAGGAAGGAAGGAGAGGAGTGGCCATACCAGCTGGGAGGAACAGTCTGGCCTGCAGGCAGTTGGTGTCGTTAGGAGCTCTGGACTCTGCTGCTGTCCTTCCAGTGCCTTCCATTTGTTACTAGAATCAAAGCCAAATTCCTTACCATAGTCTACAAAGAGCTAGTTTCCCAATGCTACCTACTAAGTGAGGCCTCCTGTAAATTAACCCATTTATTTTTATAACATTTGTTAAAGGCGGCTCTGGGATGATAGCTCACACAACTCTAGAGAGTACCACTTTCTTTGTGTCCTTATAAATGGCATTCCTGTGTGTTGTGCTATTTCACAGCCCTTCGTAGGTAAACTGTTAGACCTGATTTACAGCAGAGGAAGTAGGGCCACAGTAAAGCTCAGCCATTTGTCTAGATAATAGCAATTTAGCTTTGAAGACTACACTTTTAATCACTGTTTTCCTTTTCTATGAGTTTCTATAGTTATATTTTGCATAAATTTAAATTCTTTCCACCTAAAAGTAACAACAACTTGCTCACTTTGCATGGACAAAAAAAAAATCACTAAATATCAAGATAATGTGATTGAGCTTTATCCTGTTTACCTTTGTCATTTTTTTCTTCTACTGTAAGAAGGCCTTCCTGCAGGTTATCTTGATTATAGGAGAAAGCATCACTCACTTACTGAGGAGGCTCTAATTAAATGCTTACTGTATTAGACAAGATCTCATCAGGAGGCAGATGGCATGGTTCTGTTAGGATAATGCAAGGAGGGCTTGAAAAAGGACCCATTTACGAAGGTGTGGGCAGGTTAATGTAGCAGCTAATACAGTCTTTGAGCCTGGTGATAGCTTTCACCACCTCCAGGGCCCAGGGACAGAAGCGGTTAATGACAAGTGGGGCACTTCGAAAACCTATAAGCATGGTGTGGCCCTGCAGAGGAGGAACCAGGGACTAAATCATCTGACCTTATTCTCCCTCTACTCTGCTGGGGGCTCCTTGCTGGGGCTCTCCTTTGCTGAAGTCAGACAGGGCAAATAACAAGGGAGTGGATGTAAACTCAACAGGTAAGCCTCTGGGGTGCTAGGAGCTTAGTGTATCTGAGTGGTGATTATATAGAATTATACAGATGCAACTATTCATTAATCTGTAAACTTACTACTCTCATATTCTTTGAATTTTATCTAAAAATAAGCAAGCTTGGGCTATGATTCAGTGGTAGAGCGTCTGGCTGGTGTGCATGAAGGCTTGGGTTCAGTCCTCAGCACTGGAACAACAGAAAGGTTTAGCTTCAAAATACATACCTAAAAAGATTAGAATTCGGAGGCAAAAGCAAGAAGAAAACAGAGGATGTAGGTGGGATAGAGGAAGAATGGGAGTTAAGATGGAAGTGGAGCTTTGGGGATGGGTATCTATGTCTAATTTTTAACTGATTCTATTTCTGCAAAGTCAAACCTGAATCATCCTAAATCTTAATCATTAAGACTTAAGAGAATCCCGTTGATGCTGGGTTGACCATGGACTTGGGAGAAAAGAGGGCTCTGAGGCAGAAGGCTGCCACAGGAAAAGGCCTCAAGAGAGAGAATAACGTAGGAGAATGAACAATTCAGTCAAGATTGGTGGAGGGGCCAGGGAGATGGCTGAGTAGAATAAGCGCGGGCCTGAGTTCAATCCCCGGTTCCACCAAAAAAAAAAGAGAGAGAGAGAGATGGTGGTGGGAATGGATCAGCATGACAAGTGGAAAGACATAGTCAGATTGGGGTTATATTTTGTAACTAGAGCCAACAAAATCTGCTAATGATTTTAGAAGTAGACTATGGAAAAGAGATTGGGAGGAGATGAAAAAAGACTCCAGAGTCTGAGGGTTGTAACCATACAGTTGCCATTTACTGAATTGCTGTCATTTTTGGAGGATCATTTGGGGGTGAAGATAAGGAGTTCCCTTTAAGAAGTTCCTGGGCCAGAGAGATAGCTCAGCAGCCTAAATACCTGATTGGCAAACACAAGGTCCTGAGTTTGAGCCCTGTTTTTTTTTTTTTTTTTTTTTTTTTTTTTTGGTTTTTTTTTTTAAAAAGATCCCTGTTAAGTGCAAAGCTCTTTTGCTACAGGTTACTGGAAGTGAGCAGGGGGTGGTGGGACACGTACATCTGAAGCTTGGGGGATGAGAAGGAGGGTGGGCAGCAGTCCTTCAGCTGATCACCGAGGCTGAGAGCTTGAGCTCAGAAAGTACAAAGGCTTGGGCAAGAATTTATTACCAATTTAATGGAATACCAGAAATTAAACTATAAATGGGGAGGAGACCCTAAAGGAGATTAAGAAGGAAGAAGGGGCAGAAACCAGGAAAGCGTGAAAAAGCAGAGATCTTTGGGAGAGTTTCAAGGTCAGAATAGTAATCAATATCAGATATGTTCAGCACCATAATAATCAAATGTTAACAACATGAGCAGCAGGTGACTCCACAGAGAGGAAACCGACAGTAAAACTGGCCTCATTCTTCCTGAGTTGGTGATGCTCTGCTTTGGCCAAACCCAAAGAGAGGTCAGATAGCAGGGCAGCTTGTGGCAAGGAGCGGGATGTCACTTTGAAATACTCTTACATTCATACCAGCAGTCACAGCAAGCACTGACCTGCAGGGTATAAAATGGCTTTTGGCATGTGTATAGTATGTTACAATTGAGAAACTTTTGTTCTCTAGTGCTGCAAAGCTATACTGTAAAAGAAAAGAATTTTTTGTTGTTTTTATTAACTTTGGTGTTGACAAAAAAAGATGCCCTGGGGTTAGTCCTCATGGAGTTCCACCTGTAAAAGGAGATAAAGTGCAGAGAGTATCAAAATTATCCTACACAGTCTGTATCTATCTTCATCTTATTAAGCTATTGAAGAAAATAATTGTTCACATAACCAAATTGTACTCACTGAGTGTGTATGCATATACGGAGTCTGCCAGTTCAGCAGTTTGCCCTACTAATAGATGTCTAGGCGCTAATGACCACCACTTGGAGCATCTCTTATAACTGTAGAGGCCTTGGTTCTGATATCTAAAATACAGGCTTCCCAGATAAGATCTTTGTCTTAACCCCTAGAGAATCTCAATTCTATGAGAGGGTTTTGATCCTCCTAGAGCCCTGAAATCGTTCCATTTGTGTGTGTGTGTGTGTGTGTGTGTGTGTGTGTCTTTTTTTTAACCTCATTTATTTGAGTCTTCACAGTCCGCTCCTTTGAGAGATCGTGGGACTGATGAGTTCACAATAACTAAGGGATAATATTAACACAATACAAAAGTAACTTGCATTAATCTAGTGGTGTCTCAGTAAATTCAGTATTAAAATACTTATACAACTTTTCTTTTCCTGATGTCTATGTTTTTGGCAGACTTTGTATATATACTGTATGTGCATACTTGTGTATGTGGTCTTTAAAAATATGAGAAGAAATAGGAAGCAAATATAATTGCTTTGTACTGTGTCTTTCTATGGGATTTTCTGCCACCAACATGTAGTTTTATACTAAGGTAAATATTTTGGAAAGCTGCTGCTGAACCATTGGTTAGTTCTAGTATAATCTTTCATGTTATAAACATAAGAATATAGGGTCAGCCAAATAGCTCAGCAGATTTAAAGTGCCTGCAAGCAGGCACAGTGGCCGAGGGCTCGATACCCAGGCCTGCCACGCCAGCCCCGCCACCGGGGTGCAGAGACAGCAATTGAGACTGGGCCTGGTGGTGCATGCCTATAATCCTAGCTCTTGGGAGCCTGTAAACAGACAGATCACTACAAGTCCGAAATACAAAAAAAAAAAAAAAAAAACAAAAACATAAGAATGTGTCAATGTATGACTTGTTTTTAAGTGGATGCTTTGCTGATTGCATCAGATCCTTTTCATCTGAATGGTTACTGAGGATGGTGACCAGAATCCTCTGAGAAGTCTTCCTGTACCTAGGTTTAGCTACCCCGGTGGACTTGAAGCTGAAGCTGATCCCTATCCTGCAGCACATGCACCATGACGCCATCCTGGCTTCCAGTGCACGCCAGCTCTTGCAGCAGCTGGTCACATCCTACCCCTCCACCAAGATGGTGATCGTTTCTTTGCACACTTTCACTCTGCTTGCAGCCTCATCTTTGGTTGATACGCCCAAGCAGGTAACTTCAGTTTTCTTCACTAAACTTGCATATTAAATATATGATAAAAAAAAAGTAATCCATGCATTAAAGTCCTTTTCTCCCTTAAAGATCAGTGACTTGAATTTCCTTGTTTATATTCTTGGGAGCCCTGAAGGAACCTATAGCAGTGTGGGAAACTGTCAGTAAAGAAAGGGTTGAGATTCTGATAAGGACCAGTCGTTAAGTGGTATCTCACACACAGGGAGAAAGAGGTTCAATCATGGACACATAGCTAATAAGTGACAGGGTCTTTTTGAAGGGGATCCTACTACAAGGCTAAAAGTTCACTAACAGCACTGCATCATTAATGATCATCTCATTGAAAGTATTGTTCTTGGAGTAACTTAAATTCTTTTGTAGATTCAGCTGTTGTTGCAGTATTTGAAGAATGATCCCAGGAAAGCCGTAAAAAGACTTGCGATTCAAGATCTGAAATTACTTGCCAGTAAAACACCACACACTTGGAGTAGGGAGAATATTCAGGTATATGGGACTGTTAATATTTAATATAGAGAAATAATAAATCACAAGCTGTTTGGCATATTTTTATCTTTGTCATCTCTAAATGATTGAATATGAAAAACCTCTTAACATTATTAATGTTGTGAGAAAAATCATTTTATCAATGGAAAAATAAACTTGTCTCTTGATGTTTAAGTTTGTTTAATGAGTGAGCTTGCCTCTTTGTTGCTAATTTTCCTGTAGTTACGCTGAGGTTAATTCAAAGTTCAGTTATTTTATTCCTCTCTTTTGGTCAATTTAGGGAGGACAACCTAGGTGACGTCTGTGATTTGGTGTAGTGCAAAGGCAGATGGGCAACATGGCAAAGTGCATTTCTCCTTTTTTTTTTTGGCAGAACCAGGGATTTAACTCAGCGCTTGCCAGGCAAGTGCTTATTCTACTGAGCCATCTCCCCGGCCTCTTCTCCTTTTCATAGATTGCGGTAGGGTCTTTCTCTGTAACCCAGGTTGGCATCAAACTTGACAGTCTTCCTGCGTCAGCCTCCTAGATGCTGGAATCACAGATGTTACAAGACATTCTTGACTTTTCTTTCATAAACACAAGAGCACATCTCACTCCAGGTTACTGAGGTGACATCTTATATACCATTTCTTAGCCTAAATTCCTGTTTCATATTTATTTTTTCTCAAAATAGAACCCTATTTGTTTACCCATTACTGATAACAGTTGAACACTATTTTTACACACTATCTGTAATATATTAAAGTCTTTGTGCTAGTACATGCCGAAGCAGGAAAATCACCAGAGTTTGAGGCCAGTATGGGTGATATTCTGAGCTCAAGGCCAACCAGAACTGTGTAACAGTTCTGACCCTGTCTCTCCCCTATAAAGAATCTTTGAATTTCAGTTTATGAAAACTAAGCAGCTATGTTTCTTTTTTTTTTGTTTGAAATGTTCTCAACGTGTTTTACTGTTACAGTTTGATAGTCATAAATACCACAAGAGATATGGACAGTACTTACGTTTCATTGATAAGCAGTTAGAATTCCAAGGGGTATAATATGTTTAATAGAACTTCTTAAGAGAATTTAAACATTAATTAAAAGAGATTCTGTCATCTGGTCCCCTCTCAAGTGATTTTTCTGCTTCAATAGTAAGCCTTCCAAAGTATGGACATGTATCATCTTTCTACTTATCTAGGTCTCTTTGTCTATTTTGTGTGATATTAATATAGTTACTTTAGCCTTCTCCTAGATATATTTTGCCTTATATGTAGACGTTCTCCAACCCTTCATGCTGTCATAGTGGAGCTTTTTGGAAGTGGCTGGATCTGGAATGTGTGATGCTGGAATCAAGGGTGTGTGGTTACTCAGTTAGTCCACTGATTGGCTTGGCAGCTTGGGATAGGAATAAAGCACCCCCTCCCAGGTGTTAGTGTTCCACACTTAGGGTGATGCTCCTTGTGTAAAATATAAGGGACAGAAAGAGGATTGCTTTTGTTGCCTCTTTGCTGCCTTCTGCCTGCCCCTTTGCCATGCCACCCTACCTTGCAACCAACCAACCGTGAACTGAAAACTACCAAGTGTGAGCCAGATAATCCTTCCCTGTAATTTTGGGTGACAGATGTTTTGTCTCAGCAACAAGAAAGTCACTGAGAAATATTTACATGGCAGATTGTCATAGTCTTGCTTTGATTCTGTGTATCTTTCTATCTGTGCTATTTCTTATAAGTAGTATTTAATTGAATTATTTTTAGTTCATCCTAGCAGGCTGATTTTCTGGTGGAGCCTTTGATTCATTTACATTTACTGAGATGTATTACATATAAGAGTTAAAATCTGCTGTCATATTTTGTATGTTCTGTGTCTCTTCCACTCTTTCACTCTTAGGAGGGCTGCTTCCTAGATTGTTTTTAATATCTCACCACGTCAAGCTGCTTTTCAGAGTAAATGAACCAGTTCGCCTTCCTGTTCTGTATAAGAGCCCATGCATTCCTGCTGTGCACAAGAGCCCCTTGATCTGTATCCCTGCCAACACATAGCATTTTCAGTGTTTGATTATAGTTATCAAAATGTTAATGTTTGCTGACTTAGAAATAGTTTTTAATATAAAATTAGCTATATTTATGATATAACTATTCTTCCTTTGAATAGTTCAGAAGTTTATGGTCTTCTTATATTTTATGTATTTATCCTGGAAATGTTATCCCATGCAATTATTGTGAAATCTCTAATTAATTTTGCTACACAGACCTTAGGACACATTTGAACTCCATTTACATCTACATTAATCCAGTTTCTGTTGCTTCATGATGCGCACCACACACCGGATGAGTTCTGATAGAAGGAGGTCTGTTTGGGCTCCAGGGCTCAGGAGGCTTACAGTTGAGGGGCTGCATGTGGCAGTAGCTGCCTTACACATACCACAGGACATCACATACATGTACGAGTGTCTCTTCAGCTCTCTTCTTCCTAAAGCCAGCAGAATTCAGTCATGGAGGCACCACCCCAGCGACCTCATCTACTCTTAGGCCTTCCCAAAGGCTCAGCCTCTAAACCCCATAGTTGGTTTAAGTGTCCACAGTCCTATTACCTCAAAAATGTGGATTAAATCTCAGTACATGAAACCAAAGGGAACCCATCCAAACTGTATCTAAACTGTAGCAACATACCTCTAAATGTGTGTGTATTGTCCTTGTAGGTTGTAGTTCTCTCTCTCTCTCTTTTTTTTTTTTTTTTTTTTTTTTTTTTTTTTTAGGGAAGGGTCTATAGGATGTTCAAGGTCTTACTACTAGATTGGACTTGTAGTGATCTGCCTGTTTACAGCCTCCCAAGAGCTGGGATTATAGGCGCATGCCACACTGCCCAGTCTCAAGTGCTGTCTCAGCACACTCCAGGGGCAGGGCTAGCACGGTAGGCCCAGGTTCAAACCCCCAGCCTCTGTGTCTGCTTGTAGGTGCTTTAATCCACTGAGCTATTTGGCTGGCCCTAGTTCTGTCATTTGTTGTCCACCAGTTTTGTCACTTTTTTTTAATCTTTTATTTATTGGATACAAGATCTTGCTACACAGCCTGTACTCATAGTGACCCTCCTCTGTCAGCACCTCCAGCACTGGGATTACAGGTATGCACCACCATGCACGCCTGAGGTTCCTGGGCCATATTGGCTTCGGTACCAAGGATCGATTCCAGGGACTCATACTTGCCTGGAAGGTGCTTAAACCGCCAAGCTATTTCCCCAGCCTGTCACTGTTTTATGACTGCAGTGCATATTGGGACCATCCACTGTCTTCACTTCTCTTCTAACACACCCAGATGTCCTCTCTGGGATGCTCACCTTCTGCCTTTTGTGAGGCTCTTTAGAGTGTGTGGTGGGCACTCCCAGTGTCTATCTCCTAATGCTCGTATGTCTTTATTTGGTCCTCAGTCTCAAAAGAGACTTTCCCCCTTCCCTGGGGATAGAATTCCTAGGGTATTAAGGCTACCATTTTTTTTTAATTTTATTTATTTATTTATATGTGTGTGTGTGTGTGTGTGTGTGTGTGGCCAGCTCAGCCCACCAGGGGGCGGGGCTAGCAGGCATGTGGAGCTGGGGGATTGAACTGCGGTCTCTGTGCTTTGCTAAGCTTGTTGTAAGTAGGTTCTTTAGACCACTGAGCCATCTCACCAGCCCAAGGCTACCATTCTGTTGTCTTCTGGTTTCCATTAATGCTGCTTAGAAATAGCTGTACTCCTCTGAAAGCTTTAGTCAGTTTTTCCTGCTTTTAAAGTTTTCTGTGACTCAGTGCTCTGCAGTTCCTCATGAAATGGCTGGTTATGGATGGGGGTCCCTTTAAACTCTAGATCAGTTAGGCTTCTTGGATCAGAAGATTAGTGTCTTGCAACGGTTTAGGGAAATTGTCATTCATAATTCCTTCAGGTATTGCCAGTGTCCCTCTCCTTTTTTCTTCTAGCTCTCTATTTAAATTTCTGTTAGCACTCTTCATTAATTCTCCACTTTATTGCCTTATTTTTCATATCTTCGTGCTGTATTCTGGATAATTTCTTCTTATGTATGTGTTCACCACTGAGCTACATGCCCAGACTTCCCGTCTTGATTTATTTAGAAAGCTCCTTGGCTTTCTTTCTCCTTAGGAAATGTTTAGTACATTTAATTTTACTCTTCTTTAATAATAAACATTATAAAGGTATTAATTTTCCTGTTTATGCAGATTGGCCACTTTTCATAAATTATTTATTACAGTGTCTTGTTGCCATTAATTTGAAATGAGTTTTTAAGTCAGATTTTTTTTTTAATTTTTTAATTATTTATTTATTTATTTATTTATTTATTTATTTAGTGTGTGTGTGGCCAGCTCAGCTCACGAGGGGGCGGGCTGGCTGGCATGTGGTGCTGGGGGATTGAACCGCGGTCCCTGTGCTTTGCTTAGCTTAGCTTGTTGTACGTAGGTGCTTTAGACCACTGAGCCATCTCACCAGCCCTTAAGTCAGATTTTTTGTGGCATAATTTATTTACAGAAAGCTTTCTAGTACGGTTGGGTGAGTTTTTACAAAGCATATAATTATGTTGCTATTTTGACAAATTGAGATATAGAACTATTTTGTCAGTACAGGTGTTACAAGCCTGGCCTTTACCTGAACTATAGCCCTAGCCCTATTTTTATTACTCACTTGTAGCCAGTCCTTCTCAAGCCCCTGTCACTCACCAACCTGCTATCTGAATTCCTCTGCCCAAGGAGTAGCTGACAAAAACTTCCCATTCTGTAGGTTGTCTCTTCACTCTGTTGTTTTCTTTGCTTTGCAGAAGCTTTTGATATGATCCGTTTGTTGATTCTTGATGTTATTTCTTGTGCCGTAGGGTTCTGTTCAAAAAGTCTCATGCCAGAGGATGGGCCAGATAGCTTAGTGGATTGAAACACCTGCTTAGGCAGACACAGGGACTGGGCTTCGATCCCGGTATGCCATGCCAGCCCTGCCCCTTGAGCTTGCTGAGATGGCATTTGAGACTGGGTGTGGTGCTCGCCTGTAATCCCAGCACTTGGGAGACTGAAAACAGGAGGCTCACTATGAGTCTGATCTGTGTAGTGAGATCCTGTAGACCCTGTACTAAATACATTTTTTTTAAAAAGTCTTATGCCTATGTCTTCAAGAGTTTTGTCTGTATCTTTTAGCAGTTTGTTTCTGTTTTGATATTAGATCTGTGTTCACTCTTTTTTATTTTTGTACATGTTGAGAAATTCAGATCTAGATCCAGTCTTTGCATTTCCCAGCAGCATTTGTTAAAAGAGGTTGTCTTGGCTCCAGTGCCTGTTTCTGGTCCCTTCATCAAAAATCAGATGACTGAACTCTTTTTTTATTTTTAAAAACAGGGTTTTATGGAGTCAGTACATTGACTAAGAGCTCAAATTTGCAGTCTTGCTGCCTTGGACTCCCAGAATCCTAAGATTATAGGCATACACCACCACTCCCAGCCAAGGTCATTTTTTTCACTGTCAAATTTCTCTTTTTAAATTTAATTATCTTGGGGGCCGGGGAAATGGCTCAGTAGAATAAGTGCTTCTCTGGCAAGTGCAAGGGCCTGAGTTCAATTCCTGGTGCCTGCCCCCCCAAAAAAAAAAAAGACAAAAAAATTAAAAAATAGAAAAATAAATTTATCTTGGGGCCAGCCTGATAGCTCAGTGAACTAAAGCATCTGCTTAGGCAGAGTGCAGTGGCCGGGGTTCAATCCCCAGCATGTCCTGGTGGCACACGCCTGTAATCCCAGCACACGGGAGGCTGAAAACAGGAGAATCACTACGAGTTCAGTCTACATAGTGATGAGACCCTATAGACCCTGTGGACCCTGTCCTGAATACAGGGGGGCAAAAAAGAATTTAATTATCTCATTGCTTCTACTATTTTTTTATACCGTATCTTTTTTGAGATATTTGATTCTAATTTATTTTTCTTGTGACTTTTCTTTTATTAATATTTTTAATATTTATTTTTCCCACAAAGAATTTTTTCCTTTGACTGAAAGCTAAGTGCATTGATTTTAATTACTAGAATGTAGTCAAGGGCCAGAGAGATAGCTCAGTAGAATAAGTGCTTGCCTGGCAAACACAAGGTCCTGAGTTCAATCTCTGGTACTGCAAAAACAAATAAATGATAAAGAAAAAAAGAATATAGTCAAATGATCAGTTTTCTAAACCAAGATATAAATTTAGAATATCGAAATATATCAGAAGAAAACAGACAAAATGACTTAACCTTTATAAAGTAATAATGTATTGATTTTAAATTTGAGTTTTACTCACAGTTACCAAAAGCAACTGTTTTTCTAGGACTTCGCTCACTGCTTTTTTCTGTCTTCCACTTGACAATTTTATTGCTGAGTGATTTTTTTTTTTCCCTTGAGTTTTGGTATTCCAAACTCAAATCTTGTGTACTGCATTGTTACTTTTACTGGTTTAATTGATTAGTTTTAAACAATAAAATTAAAAATCCCAAGCTGTCATACTATTTTAAAAAACAGAAAGAAGACTAAAATTGAGCCCCAATTATAATGTATTTTTATAGTGTATTATTAATATACTCAAAACAGTAATTTCATAGCAACTAAAATATTTATTTATTTATTTATTTTTTTAAATTTTATTTATTTATTTGTATGTGGCCAGCTCAGCCCACCAGGGGGCGGGGCTGGCTGGCATGTGGTGCTGGGGGATTGAACCGCAGTCCCTGTGCTTTGCTAAACTTGATCTAAGTAGGTGCTTTAGACCACTGAGCCATCTCACCAGCCCTAAAATATTTAATGTGTTTATATTTTCCTTTGCATTTTTGACACCTTACGTATTAGTATTAATCTGTATTAATTTCTCTCGTATAGCAATTATCTATAGTCTTATCTGAAATATTTACAGTATCGGGTATCAAAGTAGTCTTATCTGAACAAATAAATCTTATTTGATTTATGCAACTACTCTGTTACAAAGCAAAGGATATTTGTTCTAGATACCCTAAATATATACCTAAAGGTATATTTGGCATTATCTCTCCTGAGAGTTTTTGGTATGTATTTTACTAGATCTAAGAGGATGACAGGTTAAGCCTGAAAATTAATTCTTTTAATAATCTTTTTCTTGGACGGTAGTGGATACACAGAAAATCTATTGAAGGTGCTGTGTCTCAAACCAATACATTCAAACTTAACATCCTCACTTTACAGAGTATAAGCAATTAAGTGTGATGTTGTATACCTACCATATATTCCTAGCATTCTAGGGCTGAGACGGGAGGATCACAAGTTTGAAGCCAGCCTGAGCAATTTAGTGGCTGGGTAAGACCCTTTCTTAAAATTTTAAAAAAGACAAAAAAAAAAAGAGCGAGAGAGAGAAAGAAGTGAAGGTGTAGCTCAGTGCAAAGGACCAGGTTACAGGCTCCACTGTAACACTGTAGAAAGAGAGAGAGAGGGTAAGGAGGGGAGAGAAGACAGACAGACAGAAAAAGAGCTTCTTTTTACCATACTTCTCTAGAACATGTCCCTGGTGGCCAGTCCCATTCCAGGGTAAAGAAGAAATCACTATTTAGAGACTGACCCAGAAAACAGTAATTCAGGCCAGGGCCCCTGGTTGAGCACTGAGTAAAGCCAGCATTGCAGGAGAAATTTAGACCAGGTGTTCAAGGAGAAAGGCATTGGTGGTAGTGAGAAAGAGGAATCCATTTGCAGAGATACTTTTTCTTCTTTGTTGGTGTGGAAACTGCTCCTAGTAAGAATAATTGTGTAATAGGTTATATCCTTGAAACAGAAACTTAAACCAAATTCATCACTGAAATATGATTATATGCTATTTAGAGAACTTTATGATTTGCTCTGTTCAGTGTACTTATTTGAATCAATGAACCTTACATCGCTATGTACTTACTGAGACATTTTAGATACCCAATCATGTACTTCATCACAGAAATTATAACATAAATCATTTTATAAGATAGTCTAGTGTTTTAATTTTTGAAATGATAAAACTACTTTTAAAAAACTATCCTTACTTAAAATTTCTTGTTTGAATTCAAAACTGTAGTATTAACCAATCACTTGTCTATAAAGTGCTTTCTTTTGAACGCCATAAAAATCATTGACTTTTTATTTCCTTATATCTTGGTTTTTTAAATATACTTTTGCATTTGTAGCTGCTTTCCTATCACTGAGACATTGAAAAGCTCACCAATGTTCCTAATGCTAAATCCAGAGACTTTTTTGTCTTGGATTTTTAGTATTGGCAGTCAGTCCCCTCTTCTCAGAGCTGAGTCCTTGGCCTCTGCTTTCTTTCCTTTACTGTCACATTGGTGGCCTCCCAGGGCGCAGCATGTGAAGCCTCGGCATCTATTTAGTGCATTGAGCTCAGCTGCAACATTACTCTCTAGCAGAGTAGTTTCTGTAGATTGCAAAGTGCTGTGACTTTCAGTGTCTGTTGAACAGATGTCACCCCATTTTTTAAATTAATTAATTTTTTTTTCTATTTCATTCTTTTAAGACAGGGCTACAAAAGGGAATATTCTAAAATACTTCTCACCTATTTCTACCATCCATACTGCTCCTTTGGCTAGTGCCAATGTCTAACTTTTTATATATTTTTCCATAGACATTTCACATGGGAACTACAGTTCTTCATAAATATTTACCACCACTTTCAAAGAGGTTGAGACTTATAAAGATTTTGGTGATTGGCTCAGATCACAGAGGTGGCAAATGACAGCCAGAATTCTGATGTGAGTCCCCCAAAAGTGGAGTAAATGAACAAAATTGGAAGGGTAGCTCTACTGACTAGTAACTAGATAGAGCACTACACTCTTTGTTATTGTAATGCACATAATATAAAATCTCTACGACTTAAGTAAAATATAGTGGAAGTTTTAGAACAATTTCACATTTATAGAAAAACTAAGAAAAAAGTAAGTAAAATATAGTGGAAGTTTTAGAACAATTTCGGTTACAGAAAAACTAAGAAAATGGTATATATACCATACCCAATTTCCTGTTAATGATTTTTCTTTACAGTAACAGCATTTGTTCTAAATGAATACTGGTACATTATTATTAATCAGTATATATTTTATTCTACTTTCTTTATTTTTGTTCCAGGGTACTACACTATATTTAGTATTATGTCTCCTTATACTCACTTGAGTGTAGTAGTTTGACCTGAGGTTTTTATCATGGAAAAAAATCTTAATACATAATTTTTCTAAAAGATAGAGAATTTCAGTAGAGTTGACAGTTTAAAAGTGCGTTAATGTCTTAAATTCTGTGTTTGCTTTTCTTCTTGTATTTAGGCACTCTGTGAATGTGCCCTCCAAACTCCGTATGACAGCCTGAAGCTCGGGATGCTGTCTGTCCTCTCCACATTATCAGGGACCATCGCCATCAAGCAGTACTTCAGCATAGCGTCGGGTAAGAAGATAATGTGTTGATTGCTTTATTCATGCTTATGTCTCAAGTAGTTTCTTCATAAAGCTTTAAACTGGAGAAAGCTTAATCTCATATACCATTGTATGCTAGTGACTTATTTGAAATGATTTGATGCTTGTGTTAATAATCCTTTTTCCTTGTTCTTAACTCAAGGATATTATTTTTCTGATTTGTTCTTGTTGGAATTATCTGTGAGAGGAAATATTTTTGAGACTATCTAGAATAGTTGGTTTGATTTTTTTTTTTAAACATCAATATTTTTAGATATCAAAAGTATCTTTTTTTTTTTTTTTTTTTTTTTTTTGTATTTGGTATAGGGTCTCACTATGCAGCTTGCACTTGTAGTGATCCTCCTGTTTTCAGCCTCCCCAGCACTGGGATTATAGACATGTGTCACCATGACTAGTCTCAGTGGCCAGCTCAGCGCACTGAGGGGCAGGGCCAGCGCGTCCTGTGGTGCCAGGGATCGAACCCCGGTCCCTGGGCTTGCTTAAGCAGGTGTTTAGTCCGCTGAGCTATTTCACCAGCCCTCAAAGGTATCTTTTGATTTTAAGTACATTTCAAAAGTCAAATGATGTTGGTTTTAAAAGCAAATGCTATGTGCTTCATTTTGGATGTAAATTATTACACTGAAAAATGATTACAACTTTGCCCCACTTCAGTAATGCTTTATTCAACCTGTCCACAATGTTTATAATGCCTTAATGCTCATTGAGAAGCTTGCTTACCTAATAGACTTGTGTAGGTCAGCTTTCCTGTTACTAGACCAAGTACCTGACACTGGCGACTTAAAGGAGAGGTTTACTTTTGGCTCTTGGTTTCAGAGGATTCAGTGCATGGTTGCTTGGCTCCAAAACAGAAACATGGCAGATAAGATGTTCGAAATGCAGTGAGATAGTGAAGTTAAGCTTGATAGCCTAAATTGTTTGATAATAACAATAAGCTTGTCTTCTGGATGGTTAACAACCTAAGTTTGCAGACCAAAATTAGAGAAAAAGGAGGGCTACAAGGAAAGCCAACATTTGGCCCTAGTCTTCTAAGGTCAGTTAAGACTCAGGACATATGAGAACCTGTACTGTAACGTCATGTACCTCGGTAGTGTCCCAAATTTTCTGATCAAGAAGATTATGGGGCCAAAGAGGAAAGTGATCGATGACGTAGAATGTGCCTAAGGAGAGTCACATGGGGAGAAGACACTCTCTCAGGCTTTCACAGAGAGCACATTGGCCAAGCAATGGCCGTGACTCATCCACATGGCTGCACTGACAAAGGTTCTACAATCTGAGGTACAGGATCTCAGGATAAATCCTGAGGGCATTTCACTGACCTTCTCAGACCCAAAAGCTACAACTCTTGTTGCATAGGTCCTGCTTTACCTTGGTCTTAACCATCCAGTAGAAAAGTATGAAGACGAAATATAGGAAATAAAGCCATGCTGTTAAGTTGAGCTGTGGGGGACTCAGGTCAACAATTTCTGACATTGCCATTTAAACAGAAGACCCAATGCTATTATGGGCTACTGGACTCTTTTAGAATATTTTGCTGAGTTTACACACCTATAATATTCAATAACGGAACTTAGAAAAATGGGGTATGCCTATGAATGTCCATTTTGTATCTGTGTATTCAAAGTGGTTGGGATAGATATATAGTTGCATTCTCTTAATGAATAGAATGATTTGTTCTAATGGTGTTTGTAAATAGGATCACAAGTCCGCATCTCGTACAGCAATTAACCACTAAGAAGAATATATGCAGTGTAATATTTGTTGAAACTGTACTTCCAATTTGATTTGAAACTGTCTCATTGCTATCTGTTTATCAATAAAACTTTGAAAAAAAAGAAACATGGCAGAAAGATGTGTTGGAACAAGCAGAACTGCTCAGTTCATGGCAGCCAGGATGCAGAGCAAGTGAACGGCACCAGGGAGAAAGGGTCGGGCCCGGCCCAGATACATTCTCGGAGGTCAGGCCTCCATGACCCACCCAGGCACCCCTAACATGTGCTTTACTAATCGCCTAGGTGCTTTTTGAACCATTCAGTTTAATAATCCAGTTTAACTGTCACAAAATTGAAGGCCAAAGTTTTGTGGAATATGTATGACTTTCTGATTAATGAATTTGAACTGAATTAAAGGGCTATTGTCCATATTTGTCCTTTTTTGTCACTGCACAACATGAACGTACTGAGTCAGGGAAGTGCCTTGTCAAATAAATCTCAGCATATTTTAAGGGGCCATAGTTTGTGTGTCTCACTGCCGGTGGCTCTGAATCACCAGTGGTACATAAATGACTGTCCCATCAGATAGCATGGAACAATCCCATCGAGCGGTACAAGTCATGTGTGTACCCCTGGAGATTCACTCTTGTGGGGACATGTTAATAGGAAGCAAAAAAGACCTGATGCAGTTCTCTGACCTCCCTTGCAGCCAGGGTACATGTATGTGCCCTGGGCTCAGTTAGTCATTTCCATGCCACAGACTGAATTGAGAACTGATGACAAAAGTGGGGGTTGAGAAAATCCATTACAGTGATGCAGAAATGACTGTAGCACCATCCTGTTTCCAGAATACTCTATAGCAGTGGGAGCTTGCCGTGTCTGATACCTAGGAAATAGAATCTGGGACGTTAAGTAATCAGCAGTAGGGCCCACAGTGTCTTCTTTGGTCTAATTTTGTGCATGACTTTTGGACTATGATCTTGTCTGTGCCCTGGCCTCCCTTTTTTCCTTCTTTATGACTTTTGCATTCCAGCCTTTTAAGTAATTCTGTTAAGTACTCTCTATCAGGTATCTGTTACTCCATAAAAATCACAAATCTTTAGTGGTTTTAAACTATTACCATGTTACTCTGATCCTGTGAATCAGTAATTCTGACAGGGCTCAGAAAGGCAGTTCTACTAGTCTCCCCTGGGGTCACCATATGACTGCAGTATCTAAAACTGAGACCCGACTAGCTGCCCTCATTCACAGCACCTAAGTTCTCTGTGTGACTGTTAGTGACAGACCTCTTAGCTGAGCCAAATGGAAGCAGCCACCACAGACAGCACTTCTGAACCTGCTGTTTGTGTCATGTTTTCTTAGTCTAACTGGTCAGAGCAAGTCATATGGCCAAGCCTAGGTAGGAAGTAAAATAAATACCTCTTGATATGAAGAATTAGAAAATACCATGGCAAAGGGTGGTATCTGTAAGAAGTGGGATTTTCTTCAGAAACTGTTTTCAGTGAATTCCTTTTCTACATAAATCAGTTTCTTAAATTACAGTTAACATCTTTGCCTAACAGGATACTCTCAGTAGTTCTGGTAGGCAAAGTCTTTTTAAAAATTTTTATTTATTTTAATGTATTTGGTACAGTGTCTCACTATGCTGCTCAGACTCATAGTGCTCCTCCTGTTTGCAGCCTCCCTAGCACTTTACAGGAATGTGCCACCACACTGTGTTGGTAAACAGCTTAGCGTGACCTGTAGCAGGGCCAGAGTGGTATGTGGTGCCCAGGATCAAACTCCCATCTTTGTACTTGCCTAAGCAGGCACTTAGTCCACTGAGCTATCTTGCCAGCCCAAAGTCTTATTTCAT